TGTCTCCCCGGTTCAAATTGAGGTTGTTTTTTATAACTTTAAACCCCCCCCCGGGAGGGGGACGAGGGTACCTAAGGAACCGCCTCTGCCCTATGACTTCAACCCGTCCCACCCGATCCCACAGAGAGGGCATGCTTTGGACCCCCTCAGTGACAGAACTTCAATTAGCGGGGTCCAGAAGGCGGGCCTTCTCTGTGGTAGCCCCCGCTCTTTGGAACATTCTGCCCCTGGAGGGGCGATTGGCCCCCTCACTGCTGGCCTTCCGAAGGGCCTTGAAGACCTGGTTCTGCCACTTGGCCTGGGGTGGGGAGGGAATACCTCAAGCATGGGGATGGCTAGCCCCGTAGAGGCCTCCTGTCTTCAGCCTCAGATTTTTCATCTTTTTGGACTCTCCTTCTTTTTAGTAATGTTTTTAACTAATGTTTTATGTATTTATATATATTTATGTTTTTAATGTTTGTTGTGAGTCACCCAGAGTTCCCCCATTGGGGGGAGATGGGCAGTTGAAAATTTGATAAATAAATAAAAATAAAAAATTAATAAACAACCAAATGCTCAAATCAGAAATGAAATGCTTTGATATGTTTCTTTTAGAGTATTCTTTGATGGATATTTCAAAGTATACTATTAACAATAATGATCCTATATTCAATCTATTCCACTGATGGAAGTAAGATATTATATTCAAGAACAGAAAAAAAAAAAGAAAATTATATATACAAAAATTAACTTCTTACAATTCCATCATGAATAAACAATCTGCTGACAAGTGATAAGAATGGCCTTAGTAGACTACTAATATTACATGAAGGGCTAATATCATAGCAATCATTAAAAAAACAAAGAGAAAAGAAAAGAAAAGAGAAAAGAACCAACACAACACCTGCAACTGCCTATACATACATTTGTAAGGAAGGTCAAATTATGTGATAATTTAGAAGTTTTCCTGATCTTGACTTTAAAGCCAGGCACTATTACGCTTAAAGTTTTGATAAGATCAAGGTCTCTTTCTTACCTGTACATAAGTCTATTTTGTGTAAGGTATAAGCATCTTCAAAAGCATTAGTCATAAGGAGTTCATATCCATAGAAAACGACCAACAGATGCTTTTGTAACACCTAGATTGGGTCCCATAAAAACAACTCCTCAATCTACACCTGCATAAACAAGCCTGAGGCTAAGATTTAGGGTGTGGAGTTGACTACACATTTTCATTTTCTTACTTTGTAAAGAAAAAAAAAAAGACATATATTCAACCCTATGACTAAAGGGAGAAAGAAGATGTATACTAGGTTATCTTATTTTATTTTAGAATATTTTTTTCTTCCATTTACAGGAGGATTATATTATTTTGTTTGAATATGATGGAAAGACCGCTACAATGAATTATAGAATACAAAATGAAATATTTGGGATGAAAGATTATTCATTTCTCTTTTCCTCTCTTGTAATTTTTAGATAGCTCTATTATTTCATTTACTTATTTTCAGTATATTTACTGAATTTGGGTGCTTCTCTATGTCAGAGACCCAAAGTGCCCCTAGAACTATAACAATATTTCTGTATATGACCTTAAGAAATGTCCTCATAGCTGAAAACTATGGAGATACACTTAGCTTCAAAGCAGAAACAATAGAAGAATTTGATCTGTGTGATCCCTGAGTCAAGGTAACCTAATAATCAACTCCTGGATTAATATATACATCAGAATGTAATTTGCCTTTGGATTTCATAGTTCTTTGAATTTTGTAATATAGTTATTGGCTCAGAAATAATGACATGTAAATATAGGTGGAGATTAAAGAAAAAACAGAAAGATATTCTTTGAGGAAAAAGAATGTTCATGAATCTATATTTAAATACATTTTTTCATAAAGACTTTAGTTTAATGCAGAACAGAATATAATGACTTTTGGGATATATAGAAAGAATGTTATATTTACAAAAAAAAAAAAAGTTCCACTTTCCTTCCAGGTATTTTTAACAGAGGAAATAAAGCCTAGAAAAGCTTCTATCTGAGTTTTAACAACCCTCGATACACCTTTTGTT